TTCAGTCAGGTTGTTGCAAACTACAAATTCAAAACACAAATACCAGTTATGGAGCAACCAATCTCTATGCTATCAACCAGTGTGTAAAAACTAAACTTAAATCTGCCTTAGCACATACAATGAAATAGTTCTGAAACAAGCAAAAATATGGAAAGGATCTCTATGTTGCAAATTGCAAAACACTTAAAAAGGAAATCAAAAAATACACAATAGAAAGACATACTGTGTTCAAGGTCTGTAAAACTCCACATGATAGGATATTGATTCTCCACATGTTGAACTAGTAGTGCAACACAAATTGTGTCAAAATATCAATAGACAATCTAAAATTTATGTAGAAAAGCAGAGAATCTAGAATAGCTAAAACAATTTTTAAGAAGAAGGATTAGCATGAGAATTACTCTAGCTGATAGTAATTCTGTCTACATGAATATGTTAATTTAGACAGGGTTATATTGGCAGAGAAATAAACAATAGATCAAAGGAACAAAATGTAAGAACTAGAAAAATACTAATAAAAATATAACTAATTGGTTTTGACAAAGGTATAAAAACAATTCAGTTGGAAAATACCCTTTAAAGCAAATAGCACTGAAATAATTGGACATGAATATAAACAAAAATAAGCAATTCTCCTCCTCCTTACTGTGTACACACAGACATCAACCTAAATCTCATACTTGGTATGAAAACTAGGTCAAAATGAATTATGAGTTTAAAGTCAATCAGTGAAACTTTACAGCTGTTTTAAAGAAGTCAAAGAAAAGCCCTTTGCAGCCTAGGATAGATGAAGTGTTCTTCCAGGTGACATTAAAGACAAGATCCTTTAAATTTAAGATAAAAAGTTCTTTGGATTTCATCATTTTTACAAGAACGCAGAATTTTCTCATCAGTTGTCACCACTTTCTGCCTATTATTTCTGGCTAGTGGTAATTCAGCAGTAGTGGTAGCAGTAGTAGCATCACTCATAATCCTACTCCTAGCACTTCTAGAGTGATAACATCAATGAGGATCAAATAACCTTTTCAGGACTCACTAATTACAATGTTCCATGAGTGCTTTTTCTATGTTAACTAATTTAATTGTAATGATAGTCTAAGGAATTCAGTTCTATTATCTGCATTTTAGAATTAGTACACTTAAGACATAGGAAAATAAGCAACTTACTTCTATGCACAGAGCTAGCAGTTGTCAAATCCAGAATCTTCTAAAGCTAAAATGGTTTATTCTGGAGTCTATGTTCTTAATCTCTCTGTCATGCTCCAGCTCACAAATGCTAGTGTTTTGCTTTTTGTGCACAAGCTGGAAAGAAATTTGATGTTTTTAGGAGAATATCCATTCTTTGTCTTGCAAACTTAGGTGAGACTAAAGATAATGAACAATGACATTTTGTAATAATGGTCCTTTGACAGTAGTTCCTGTCTTTTTTAGGAAGTATGTAAGAGACCTCCGTGAGAATACGGGGTTGAGAAAAAAAAGACAGATCTGATTTGAACAGGAAGAACTTGCATCCCCATGTTTTGATTTAGTTTGAGCCACAGGTAGCTTCTTGTATGCTCAGTGATGCCTCAACTGCTGTCCAGATTGTCACATCTGAGCTCCCTGCTTACCAGTTTTGTGACACTTGGTACATTGTTTAATGCCCTTTTGTTTTACCTTCTCACTGTAAAATGAACAGACTTACCTCATATTGTTTTTGGAGAATTAAATTATAGAGGCATGATTGAATAACATGATAAATTTTTAAATTTAAAAATTATACAGACACACTGCTGTTAATCTCCCTCACTTCAGACGTACTTACCCATCCTTTGGACTTTCTGAAGTGGTTCTGACAGTCCTAAGTGAGTGATTTCAGTTGCATTGATATAGATACCTTGATGTCTTAACTCAATGGAAGTTTACCTTTCATGGTCTTTTTGAGTTTGAGAAAGAGTCACAAGCTGTATGATACCTGATCTAATAAATAAGGTAGATGAGGACACACCATGATGTTTTTATTTGGCCAAAATTGCTGTAAACATTGATCAGTGTGGTGTGATAAAAATTATAATAAATATTTTAAGTTAAAAATTTATTACAGTAAAAGACACATTCCCTTTCATGCCTTAAAAAAACTCATTCATGCTAGCTTTTAACACACGTATCCTATCATCCTTGGCAATATACCTTTTATTGTAATGTTTTTTTATAATTATACCTTGACTGTATTTTTCCATAATCTTGTATAAGGAACAGTTCAGGACTTGGCACTAAGTTCAATACCATTTTATGAAATGAGAGTTGTAAGAAATACACCACATTTTTTCTCTGCAAAGCTGCTTGATTAAGGCATTTGTGATAAAGTTTGAAAATATCACAGTATCAACATGACTGCCTCAAAGGAAGTAATACGTTGAGTCTTGTAAATTACTAAGGGGAGTGAAATTTCTGTAGTCCACCAAACAAGGCAGAAAGCATCATGGTAAGAGTATAGGTTTAAAGTGTTTGAAACCCCGGGACAGTTCATTGGAAGCAAGTTAATTTGGGGATGGGGAAACAACTGGAAATAAATAGAGAGGTGGCAATAAAATCAAGCATTTTCAGGAGGGGGGTGGAGCCATGGAAGGGGTTACTTCAAGAACAGTGGGAGTGAAGACCAGGCAGCAAAAAAGAGTCAGACTTTTGGAATGTTGCATAAAACAGTAATCTCTCCGCGGCCTGTTCTCTGGCTTGGACTGCTCTTTGAGGAAAATTCTAAGTCAACCATGACCTTTCTAGAACATCCAGTTGAAAAACCCCTGCAGCAAGACCTTTCTTTTCTCACCATTAGAGCTAAGGTCTTCCCTCTAATAGATTCTCATTTCTGGTTATCTTTATTCCTCTTATCTCGTGAGATCACATATGTTGGTTTGCCTAGGACATTCTGAATTTATGTCTGTTATCCATATCTTTACTAACAGTTCATCTTTTCACCTTAAAAATGTCCTGTGTGCATCATAAGATGTGAAGTCATCCACTTAAAGCTCTTATCATTTCTTTCCTGTGTGCCTGTCAGCTGCATGTTATAAATATTAAAGTGTCTAGAGGAACAGGAATCACATCTTCCTATTCCCAGTATAGACTGGAATAATTATGAAATGAATGTAAGCTAGGAGACTGAAAACCTTGCAGGTTACTTCCTTATTTTCTTTCTTTTTTCCTTATACAACCTGCTGTTCTGTCTGCATGTATTTGGTATATGATAGGCCTGTGCATTGGATTTGACCTCTACAGCTTTCTGTTTTTGGCCCAGTCTAGTAGTGTGTCCTCATAAATCTTCTCTTCTCTCTGCTTTCAAACATGTTCACCTTTTCCACTGACAGTTTGGGTTGGTATTAAGGCCTGAAGAAAAATTTCTTTATAAATCTAAGGTATTAAATCAAGCAAGATGCACGAGTGCGCTTTATCCCCATTGCCTGTGGGTGACTAAAGCGGCTCTATTCTGCATCATAAGATGGAACCATGATGGAACCTTTTCTGTTATGAGGTCCTTGTTAGGAGCTGTAAAATAAAAATTAGTGAAGACAGATAAAGTTTCAGTTGAGTGGTACATTGATTTAGCAATTCACTAACCACCAACTATATTGAAATTTTATTTTTGTTCCTACTTATGTTATTTCTTTGAAATTTTTAGGTTGGATTTTCACTCTTGATTTATAATCTTTTATGGTTTCAATAGCCTTGTCTTTCTTCTTAAATTTGTTATGGAGTTACATTAGCAGGTGTTAACATAAATAAGGGGCATAAACTTTCCCCTCTTGTAATTTACAGAGTAGTCATCTGGATAACTTTATAAACTTCCTAATCATGGGAGGAAAGGATCGTTACTTCTGAGGTCTTGGTCTCTAGCCCAATTGAGGCCATCTTTGTAGTGTGGCTCTATTTCCTTCCATGTCTAACAGACTGCTGTCTGATTATGCAAAATAAAAACACTGCACAGAGGCAAAGACCAGGGATGGAATTCAGAACTCTATGAAATGGGGCATGTGGAGCATTGCCTGGTGGAGCCCCTTAAGTAGAGTTCTGAGAGTAACTCCCTTTCCTCAGCAGAGTGCTGGGCTCACCAGTGTCCCCTGTGACCAGTGCTCCCCTCTGCAAATCCTGCTTGGTAAGTTCTCCTTTGCTAGGCTCCTTTACCTCTCTCTTCCTCCTTAGCCTTACTCTCTTTGCTCTAAAAGAGCCGTGCTATCCAGTGTAGGTTATTAGAGTAAGGGTTCCCAGTGGGCCACACTGCTGGCGTTTGGACTGGTTAATTCTTCGTTGTGTTCTACTGTGTGTTGTACGTTACAGAACAGCACCCCTCATCTCTGGTAGCTGATTTCAGTCCTGTCCCCAATCGCGGCAGCCTAAAGTGCCTTCAGAAACTATCAAATGATTCCTGGAAGAGGGACTGCAAAATTCCCACCATTAGAGCAGCTGCCTTGAGTCTTTGTGTAAGGCTTCTAAGGAGACAGAAGCAGTGGCCGCACAGCAGTGCTCAGCCACTGTGTGACTGTGACCATTAGTCCTGGTAGGAAGCTTCACAGGACTAAGGCCCAGCAGATCCCGTGGTGTGACTGGGTGGGTCTAAGCTGGGCTACTGCGTGGTTCCTGGCTCCTCTCTCTCTGATTCCATTCCCTTCTCTGCTTCCTGGCCACTGTGGACTCAGCAGCCTTGCTCCTCTCCATTCTTCTATCCTGAGCTCTTTGTGTTGGAGCCAGTCAATCACGGACTGTATCCATGGGCAAAGTAACATTCCTTCATATTGTGAATATCAGGTATTCTGTTTTACCTGACGGAGGCAGTGACAATCAAAGTTGTTTGGCTGCTCTGGTACTCAGTCATCTTTTGGATTTGCTAAGATTTCAGCCATGCCCTGTGCAGAGACACCCAGGCACACAGGGACCTCCCCTCCATGCTGCTCATCAGCATTTTATGGATAACTTACTTTTTCAAGGCAAGAAAATGTGACTGTCTTTTTCCCTCCTCCCTGAAACAGAGCACGATGAATGTGGCAGTGGGCAGCACAACTGTGACGAGAATGCCATCTGCACCAACACCGTCCAGGGGCACAGCTGCACCTGCAAACCAGGCTACGTGGGCAACGGGACCATCTGCAGAGGTAGGTTCGCCACCTGTGGGGTGAGCTGTGTGTGCTGCAGCCTGCGGGGCTCTCAGATGCTTCTCAGAGGTGCTCTCATGAGTGCAGTCAGGGGTCCTGTTCCTGGTCAGTCAACTGGCAAGGACACTGGGCAGGAAAGAAAGGAAATGGTGGCTCAGGCTGAGCTACTGGATTGTGGATGTGACAGGGGCGCACAGTTCTCCAAGCTGATGCCTCTGTTCCTCTTTGCGTCTTTGAACCTGAGTGGGTGAGGGTTAGGGTCAGTGGCTGAGGTGACGCCCTTCCCTGCGAGCTTTGCTTCCCATGCATGAGGGTGCTGTTTGTGTCCACAGTCCAGGTATCTGCTTGAGTAAGACACAAGATGTTAAAAATTTTTAACTTGATGAGTAGCAGTGCAAACACCAGTACTCTGACTTCCCACTGCCCTTAGGATAAAAGTAAAACCCTCTGCGGCCTTCTGAGGCTTTCAGAGTGTTGTCCCTGAGTCCTCTTAGCTGCCACCTGTCTTTGCCCACATCCTCAGTCCCTCTGCTTCAGTGCAATGCTTCCTCATCAGCACTGCTGCCCCCAGGTGAACTCCTCCACCTCTCGGGGTCCCCGCATTCTTCAGCCACCATATCCACAGCAGCACTCCTGGAACTCTCAGCACCTCTCAGCCCGAAACTTTCTTGACGACTTTTTTCAGCTGAGGAAACCTTTTACATCATTGTGTTTGTGTGTTTCCTGTTCTTCACAAGGATACAACCAGGTGACAGTGACATCTCAATCTTATCACAAAACTCTGTTCCTAGCAATCCGAATGAGCCTGGCATAACTTAGGTCCTTATTAACTGTGTGTCAACGGGCTGCACAACATATTTTTGAGGTAAAGAAAAATAAAAGGTACTATATATAATTATTTTATGCCTGATATTTTAAAATAACTATTCCCATACTTATGTAAATATACAAAGACTAGAAATGTGCAAAGTATTCACTTTTATATCCATGGGTGTAAGATAAAATTGCACTCTCTTATAAAATTCTACATTATTTGCATCTTCCAGTGGGAATTTGTATATGAAATAAGTGTGGTTTTTAAAAGATCTAAAAGTAAGTAAACTTATGCTCAGTTTTTTAAAAAATGTTAAAAAAATAAAAGAAGATTGAATACTTTTTTTTTTTTTTATTTTTCCTTTTTATCGGTACCAGGGATCAAACTTACGACTGCCTGCTTGCAAGGCAGGCGCTTATGCCGCTGAGCTAAATCCCCAGCCCCAATTGAATACATTTTTAAAGCAAGTGAAAAAGCAAAAATACAAATGAGTTCCATGGATTATCAAGCCCAGCACTGGAACCTGCATATCAGTGCTGTGAATTAAGGCGCAATCTAGGGATTTGGTTTTAATGCATTTTATTATTAGAATTATGTTGCTTCATAAAATAATATTAATTGCCCTTGTTCAGTGGGTTTTTATTTGCTCAGTCCTCTCGCTTTTGTGAGAAGAGAGGATTTTACCTTTGTGGAATTTGAAAGTCTAGCTGTGAAAAATATGAGCTCAAATGTTCTTGGTGTCTGCAGACTTCCCTTGGAAGTTATGAATTAGGAAAATAATTTTTTTTTTGGTCCTTTTTGTTTTTATCGGTACCAGGTATCGAACTCATGACTGCCTGCTTGCAAGGCAAGAGTTTATGCCGCTGAGCTAAATCCCCAGCCCTGAAAATAATTTTCTTAAGATGATTTCTATGGCCAGTTGCATTGACTGTGGTAAAAGGGAGAATTCCGTTTTATGAGTGTTGGAAGAGCAGCCATGTGTGAGAGCTAGAGCATGGGATAAGAAGGTGCACTCTGGCTCAGGACTGCTTTCATTGCTTGCGAGTTGAAACTTTTACCTCGTTACAGGCTACAACTGGTTTGGTATTGCAAATAGTGATGAAGAGAATATGCAACACTATGTTTTCAGTTATAAAAAAGCTTTGCAATCTAAAAATACTGTGACAGTGAAAGAGCAGGAGGAGGAGCCAGGGCGGAGTGGGTTTTGTGGAGGCCTCAGCCTTCTCCCTGAAACACCAGATTTTGTATTTGTTTTGGGGCTTTGTTCCACAGGTGACTTTACTGCCTATATCTGAACAGTGGACTGTGCTTTCCAGTGTAACACCTTTTGTAAAGAAATGTTCCTTGGGGCGCCTTAAGGACATCCCCCAAGGCAGGGCTTCCTGAAATAATGCTAACTGGCAGGCAAGCCCTCAGGTGGGCTAGGCTGGTGGTCAGGGCCTCAGGAAGGAGACTTTTCTGCACAGGAATGAGAGTGCTCATTCAGCTCAGTGACTGGTCCCAGATCCGTGCACGGTGCCTTGCTGGTTGTGTCCACATGTATCATCTCGCTTACTCCCTGGCAGAACCTTGCAGTGTGGATAGCGTTATTCTTCTTCAGGTGAGACTCAGGAAGAAGACGCAGCTGAATCTGGTTCATCCCAGTTAGTGGGGATCCATTGCAAGGTTCTTAATTTCTCTCCTCTCAGCTTTTTCCGTTACCTATTTCTCTCTCTCTCTCTCTCTCTCTCTCTCTCTCTCTCTCTCTCTCTCTCTCTCTCTCCTCTCTCTCTTTCTCTCTCTTTGTGTGTGTGTGTGTGTGTGTTTCTCTCCTGCCAAGAAGCTAAAGAGAAATAAGAAAAGAAGATTTTGATAACATATTTGATAAATAGACAAGTACTTTGGAAACTATACAAAATGTGTTGTTAAGTATTTTGGCATTTTGAGTTAAATGGATAGAATGTTTGCAAATGGTTTCAAATGGGACTTGTGTACACTGACTTGAGAGTTCAGGTTACCTGTGGAGCAGTGTTTACTGCACTCCCAGTCCTGCATTAGCACAGAATGGAAATTAGGCCTTTGCTAGGCCATTGTCAATGCACTGCTGATACACTAAGTCTTTCCCTATCTGTCATTAGGGCTGGATGTGCGGTGGTCACTCTTGGAATCATTCTTGCCTTAAGACTTGTGGCACTGACATTTATTCTGTAAAAATACAGTGAGTGTGAATTTTCTGCTGGGAATATAGTTCCAGGCACCATAAGAACAAAAGACAAGTCAAAGAGGACCCTAGATGATTTCACCATTTAATGTTGGATAAAGATTTGAACAAGTGGAACAGTTTGCAAAATGGAATTTTATATGTGACAGAGGCCATTAAAGAGGTCCTAAAGTGTACAGCTGTGAGAAAGGTGTATGCATTCCTTAGCGCCCCTTTGGTTGGGGGATCTGCTGGCTGCAATTTGCAGAGGCCAGAGAATAAATAAATGTGGGTTCCTTGTTCCAAATGTAGGAAACTTTTTTCAGTTACCAATACTAAATATACAGCTTTTATTTTATCTTCTTGGTTTTTCTCATGCTATCATGGTGTTCATTTGCTATTTAGCGTTGTTTTATAAGTGTGGCAGTATTCAGAGGGAGTGCTTACCTACAGGTGCTCCAGGTTGGTGCTGCATCTTGATGCACTCATGGCCTCTTGGTGTCAGGGATTCCCAATCCTCTCATGAGTACTTTGTGTCCCGGTCTGAGGCAGGGAAGAGGAGTCAGTCATCTGTGGTGTTTATACACAATGGAGTACTACTCTGCCACAGGAAGGGTTAAACTTGAGTCATTTTCAGGAATCAGATGCAGCCTGAGACTGTAAGGTTAAGTGTAATAAATAAGACACACACACACTTAAACATCGCATGGTTTTCACAAAGATGTGTTAAGGACATATATCAACTCCCTACAAGGAATGCCACAATGATGTACTGAAAACATGGACTAATGCAAATAAAATTGAAGGAAGAGCCCACCACCCCAATCCACAGCAGCCAGGAGGACCCAGGGTGTGGCCATCTGTGACCCTGCTCCTGGATCTCCCGCACTGAGCATCTGGGTGTCTCAAGCTAGCACTAGGGACATGGCCATCACACTGTGTCTGGAAACCTCAGAGCATGTGCATTGTGCCCAGCCTAGCCCACTCCAGTCCCTGTCTGAGCATGGGATCCTGCTAGATTCAGGGGCAGCAAGGCCTGAACACCACACTAAGACACCACACTCCAGCACATGCTTAGTGTCCCGGTGGGCTCCCCTGCAAAACAGAACAAAGTGTGAAGCCACGGAGAGCTTGGAGAGGGGACTACCCACAGCCCGGGGCCTTCTGCCTAGTGCTGTGCTTGTGAAGGTGGTGGTGCCACTGTGTAGGAGAACTAGTTAAAATAGAAGGCTTCCATGACCAGGCTTCCCAGGTTCATCACAGAATCTAAGCGCAAAGCGATGGCTGAGATTTAGGAACAGATTGCTCCAGGACCCCGGGGCACTCTTCCTCTCTCCTGCCTACTCTCTGCTTCTCCTGCTGGCTGACTTCATACTTGTCTTTTGCTGCATGCTGAAATCCTGTTCCTTTGTGCAGCTGCCTGAGGTAGGTCTCTGTATGGCAGTCTAGAAACTGTTCCTACCACGGTCCTGTAGAAGGTCATTCTGTTGGAACCTGGTTCAGAGTAAGCAGCTTCAGAGATGCTAATTCTGTTATGAAAAATGCAAATATAGGGATTTATCATGGGAACCTGAGGGGGTCTTTGTTGTTTTGAGACAGGGCTGCCCTACATATTACAGGCTGGCTTTGGACTTAATATGTAGCCTCTCCTAGCCTCAAACACATGGTCATCCTCCTGCCTCAGGCTCCCAAGTGTTGGATTACAGACTTGTATCATCACATCTGCCCAGAACTGGTGTGGATTGAGGAGACCTCAGAAAAGCCTCCTGGTCTTTCCTTCACATTCAGAACCAATGGAAAAGAACCTAAAGAATTCAAGAACACCAAGGTCAAAACGCCAGAGTGAAAATTTACAAGACTATACCAAGAACATGGCTTATACATAAGACAAGGATAATATTCATAATGCTGAGCTCCCAAATTGGACAGGTCCATGCAGCCAATCAGAGATGGACAGGATTAACCTGAGGGCAGGGCAAAATGGGGCTTCCCCTCACACTGTGTGGG